CATAGTTCACAACACAGTAATACTACATAGTTCACAACACAGTAATACTACATAGTTCACTACACAGTAATACTACATAGTTCACAACACAGTAATACTACATAGTTCACAACACAGTAATACTACATNGCGATACTACATAGTTCAAATGAAATGTAAATATACAGTACGTAGTTCACAGTCCAGCAATACAACACAGTTCCAAAACAGTTCCCAATGTGTGGGACAGGAATTGATCCATGATAAGTTAAATCCAATTAAATACTTGAAGTGACGATTATATTCGCGTTCTAGTTTTTGACTTTTAAGATTCAACCCCATTTGCATGTCGGTACCAGTTGTAATATTGGCTACTGAGAAAAGATACTTTCTCATAGTTGTCGTATCCGCAACTACTGATTTCCAGGCAACTGTTCCTTCTAACAAAGTGCACCAATAATGTCACAGCCGTGGACGGTACAGCATCCACATCTTACATGTAATTCTCCAGTTTCCCAAGGAACCTAACCTCCTTATCTCAGATGATGCGGACGGAAATCACCCTTTCCTGAAGCAGTAACCATACTTCTCGTGTCCACCGGCATCATCTCAAGTCAAAACCAAGACTTCTTCCTCTGTGTTATTTCCTGAATCAACAGGTGATTTCTGCAACAGCTATGCTGTCTATATCACATTTAACTACACTGTGACAGTTCTTTGTAAACATTCATAGTCCCCCAAACACCATGACAGTTGTCAAACTTGCGACAGGTGACAGTTCTTTATAAGAGTAATTATTGAACCCGTTAGAAATCCTGGTCACCGGCATCAAAAATCCACCCATGTGTTACACATAACACACATAACAACCCATGTACACTTAGATTTTATTAACTTCGCGCTGTGGCCGCAACAGTCAGAGACCATACCTCGAGTAGGCCCTCTTTGTAAGATCTCTCCTATATTTAGGAAATGTTCTTTTTAACACAGTTCTGGAAAACGACAGCAAATCTACGAGCATAAAATTGATGTATAGTTACAACATCAAACACATAGTTCTAAAGCACACCAAATGCTGTAACCAGGCCATACTAGGCCCCTCCGGCCGAGGCCTTCCCTGGCCTCGTTCTCCAGAGGCTCATATTCCCGAACCTCGAATCAAGTTTCTCCACTCCAGACTCCTTAGACTTCCCCGTGCAAGTCCGTTTTATCAAAACTCACAGTACATATCTATTCACACTCTCATCCCTATCTCTATGTCATCCATGACGGACGTTGTCGCCACTACATGGATAACCCTATAGCACTAACTTCAACTCAACAGTCCCCCGTTAATCAATTCACGGTGTTACCGAACTAATAAGATTTGACCTCAAATGTACTTTTGACCAAAGCGCTGCTCTCTATTGATACCCACTGTCTCACATGTTATAAGATGGTTCCATTCTTACCATACCTAATTACAGCCAAGTTTTTTTTACATTCAACGCATTTTTAAACAACAATATATTTTTCATCACAATAAAGAACTATTTGAGAAAGAAAAGCCGGATCGTTTAATTGTGCTCTAAGCCACCAAAGACCCTGGAAAGAACGCTATACAGGACATCCTCATTCGTTCTGTAAATAAACATTCATCCTAGATTATACGTTTAAACATTCTAACCGTAAGTGTCTGTAATTACCGTTAGTGACTGTACTAATCGTCCGTGGCTGTACTAATCGTCAGTGACAGTACTAACCTTTATTTACTGAACTAACCGTCCGTGGCTGTACTAATCGTCAGTGGCAGCACTAACCGTAAGTGGCTGTACTAACCGTCCGTGGCTGTACTAATCGTCAGTGGCAGCACTAACCTTTATTGACTGAACTAACCGGCCATGGCTGTACTAATCGTCAGTGGCAGCACTAACCGTTAGTGACTGTACCTACCGCCAGTGGCAGCACTTACCGTTAGTGGCTGTACTAACCGTAGGTGATTATCCTAACCTTTATTGACTGAACTACCCGTCCATGGCTGTACTAACCGTTAGTGGCAGCACTAACGGCTAGTGCTGCCACTAACGGGTAGTACAGCCATGGACGGGTAGTTCAGTCAATAAAGGTTAGTATAATCCCCTACGGTTAGTACAGCCACTAACGGGAAGTGCTGCCACTGGCGGGAGGTACAGTCACTAACGGCTAGTGCTTCCACTAACGGTTATTACAGCCATGGACGGTTAGTTCAGTCAATAAAGGTTACTATAATCACCTACGGTTAGTACAGCCCCTAACGGTAAGTACAGCCACTTACGGTAAGTACAGCCACTAACGGTTAGTGCTGCCACTGACGATTAGTACAGCCATGGACGGTTAGTTCAGTCAATAAAGGATAGTATAATCACCTACGGTTAGTACAGCCCCTAACGGTAAGTGCTGCCACTGGCGGCAGGTACAGTCACTAACGGTTAGTGCTGCCCCTGACGATTAGTACAGCCATGGCCGGGTAGTTCAGTCACTAACGGTTAGTGTTGCCACTGGCGGTAAGTACAGTCACTAACGGCTAGTGCTGCCACTGACGATTAGTACAGACATGGCCGGTTATTTCAGTTACTTACCGTTAGTGGCTGTACTAACCGTGGGTGATTATACTAACCTTTATTGACTGACCTAACCGTCCATGGCTGTACTACCCGTTAGTGGCAGCATTAGCCGTTAGTGACTGTACCTACCGCAAGTGGCAACACTAACCGTTAGTGACTGAACTAGCCGTTAGTGGCTGTACTTACCGTAAGTTGCTGTACTTACCGTTAGTGGCTGTACTAACCGTAGGTGATTATACTAACCTTTATTGACTGAAATAACCGACCATGGCTGTACTAATCGTCAGTGACAGCACTAACCGGCCATGACTGTACAAATCGATAGTTGCAGTACTTATCGTTAGTGGCTGTACTAACCGTAGGTGATTATACTAACCTTTATTGCCTGAACTAACCGTCCATGGCTGTACTACCCGTTAGTGGAAGCATTAGCCGTTAGTGACTGTACTTACCGCCAGTGGCAGCACTTACCGTTAGGGGCTGTACTAACCGTAGGTGGTTATACTAACCTTTATTGAATGAACTAACCGCCCATGGTTGTACTAACCGTTAGTGGAAGCACTCGCCGTTAGTGACTGTACCTCCCGCCAGTGGCAACCCTAACCGTTAGTGACTGTACCTACCGTAAGTGGCAACACTAACCTTTATTGACTGAAATAACCGGCCATGGCTGTACTAATCGTCAGTGACAGCACTAGCCGTAAGTGACTGTACCTACCGCCAGTGGCAGCACTGACCTTTATTGACTGAACTAACCGTCCGTGGCTGTACTAATCGTCAGTGACAGCACTAGCCGTAAGTGACTGTACCTACCGCCAGTGGCAACAATAACCGTTAGTGACTGAACTAACCGGCCATGGCTGTACTAATCGTCAGTGGCAGCACTAACCGTAAGTGACTGTACCTACCGTAAGTGGCAGCACTAACCTTTATTAACTGAACTAACCGTCCATGGCTGTACTAATCGTCAGTGACAGCACTAGCCGTTAGTGACTGTACCTACCGTAAGTGTCTGTTCTTACCGTTAGTGGCTGTACTAACCGTAGGTGATTATACTTACCTTTATTGACTGAACTAACCGTCCATGGCTGTACTAACCGTTAGTGGCAGCGCTAGCCGTTAGTGACTGTACCTACCGCCAGTGGCAACACTAACCGTTAGTGACTGAACTAACCGTTAGTGGCTGTACTTACCGTAAGTGGCTGTACTTACCGTTAGTGGCTGTACTAACCGTAGGTGATTTTACTAACCTTTATTGACTGAAATAACCGACCATGGCTGTACTAATCGTCAGTGACAGCACTAACCGGCCATGACTGTACAAACCGATAGTTGCAGTACTTATCGTTAGTGACTGTACTAACAGTGAGTGGCTGTACTGGTTGTTAGTGGCGGCACTTACCGTTTATGGCTGTACTGACTGTTGGTGATTGTACTAAACTTTAGTGACTGCACTTACCGTTTATTGCTGTACTGACCGTTAGTGGCAGTACTAACTGTTAGTGGCTGTACTTATCGTTAGCGGCTGTTTTAACAGTAAGAGGCTGTACTGACCGTTAGTGGATGTACTGACCGTTACCGTTAGTGGCTGTTATAGCATATTTTGAAATTCATGTCGTTGATGCAGAAAACCAAAAAAGTAAAATTTCTTGACTCAAATAAACATTTTATCCATATAGGAGTCATTTTGAGTTCATTTTCTTAAATTATTCAATGCACACATTGAGCATTGTGACTTTAACAACTCAAAAGTCGAATGTTTAAACTGAACAGAAAATATCATTATGTAGGACAAGTTTGAATAATAGTCTAAATGTTATAAGATAGAAACCGAAATTAAAAAATACATAGGTCTCAGGAAAATACAAAAAGAAACAAAATTTTGAGCACTCCGATATGATTCTATCTTAATGAAATTGAAATATTTCTTACTACGTTTTTCAAGTAATTTATTATTAGAAACATTTGTTGTTTGCTATGTATACAGTTGCCATTATTGGGGACATAGGTTCAAACAAAAACAGACCTGCAGTATCCCACTCATGTGTAGCGTAAGTGGCGACACCAATGTGGCCCTGTGGGGTTTCGTCTGCGTTCTCAGGCCCCTGTGACCGGGCTAACTTGGGGTACATGTACCTGTATGTGGACCAACCATAAAAAGAAGACATACCCAAACACATACCCACAAGGATAAATTCACATGCCCCTGTGACCGGAATAATTAGTGGTACTTAGTATCATTACAAAGAAAATGTAAAACTAGCAATTTAGACTTAAAAAGCACAGCATCATGACAAAACTTTTAATTATGTTTCGACGGTTAAAGGGACACAACTCAAGTACAAATCACATCGTGCACTGGTGATTACATTGTACGTACGATATCAAGATCTGTCATTTTGGCCTAACGCCAGGAATCCGGGACTTTATACTGTCAGTCGGTAAAATCACGTGATATAACCGTAACAAGGAAGTGAACAGTTCAAGTTGTACCGACACAGCAACAAAATCGTTGCAGTTTACAGATTGTAGGTATTTATTCCATCTAACTCACTACAGTAACAACACCATGGCAAGTAACAGATCCGTGCGGCGTGCCCAGGAACCCGTTACCTACACGTGTGCTTTGTGTGACAGTGAAGACGAGGTACGATGGTTTTGTAACGATTGTCAGGATAATTTATGTGACCGGTGTAAGGAAGCCCATACACGCGGAAAGAAAACAAAGAACGATGACGTCGTACCGATAGGGAAGGCTAACCGTCAGGGCGACAAGCCTGTACCAGAGGTATGTAAAGTACATCCCGGTAAACTGTGTGATCTCTTCTGTTGCGACTGCAACGAATTACTTTGTGGGATATGTTTATCTAAAACTCATAAACATCACAACTGGAAACCTTTCGAAGACGAATTTTCTTCTAAAAAACAACATTTGAAAGAGCACATGACAGCAATTTCCACTAAAATAAAACATTTCAAGAATGAGACATCAGAGCGACATCGTGATAACGAAGGGTTCAATGACAACATTGATACAGTGAGGAAAGAGGTGAACTCTAAAAGGACAAAGTTAAAGGCAGAAGTAGATTCTATCGCTGATGCAATACTCGCCGAATTATCTGTTTTAGAAGAAGAAGAATCAACAATACACAAGAAAGATTGTCAACGATCAGAGAAAAAAGTCGAAGAACTGACGCGTCTGCTTAACGAAGCGGAAATGACAGATACATCAAGCGTATCCTTGTTTAAAACAGAAAGGTCATTGAGGACAACTCTGCCCCTGTATGACGTTAATGTGAGATATGTTTCACCCAAACAACCAAGGTTTGATACCGAAAGTATCGACAGTGTCATGTTGTCGAAAACGTTTGGTAAATTACACCACGATATCCAGTACCAGAAGATAGACATCGACAGTAAACACGTTCAACGTCTCTCTGAGTTTACTGTTACTCAACAGAATCAAATATTCGGTATATGTCCAGTCGACGACAGTCATGCATGGTTATCAATACATCAATATCAGGGTCTGGTACTGGTTAACAAGGAGGGTGAGGTGATAGAGTCAATAAAACTGGACTTCAGCCCGGGCCTACTCACCATGGTCGGGACAACAGACATACTTATGACCAGTTTTCCACATAGTACATTTGCATATAAACTATCACTACACGACAAACAAGTGACAACATTTGCTGACATCAGACCACATGAAGCATGTGACGTCAGTATCAACGAGAGGGGCGAGGTGTTTGTTACTACATGTACGCCAGACATAGTGGTACTGAATCAGTCAGGTACGATTATAAGGAAGGTCACGATTGGATCAGAAGATATAGTGAACGTTGTCTGCTTGTCATCGGGACGTCTGTGTGTAGTTCACAAACTTGGAGGAGACTGGAATGATTGTAATATAATGTTAGCAGACGAGTCGGGTACCGTCATACAGACATGGACTGGTGAACTCGACAACGGTCAAAAGGTCGGTAGTATGCAACTCCTGAGGATGTCATGTGATAAGTACGACAGAGTATTTGTACCAGAACACCGGCACAAACAGGTGTACGTCCTACCGATGAGAGGCGGTAAACAAGCTGTGTGTCTCCTAGACCGGACACACGGAGTGGTCGACCCTACAGTGGTGGGTGTGGACACGTGTGGTAACGTGTGGATCGGGTGTGATGACGGTACCGTACACGTGATGGGACTGTAACATGAGGAAATAGTAATATACGGTACTTGGTCTCGTGGTACTATAATCTATTGTGTATATAACATTCCACGGTAGATCACCGATGTATGAAGTCTGAAGTATCCTCAAATAAACAGTGAGTGTATTTGTTATGACCGTGGTAATCAGACAATCACAAGTAACGAGATTGTTTACTACCAACCGACATTACGTGGTCACTTAACTGATCAAGGAAAAAGAAATTATAAGTGAGCTGGATCCAGGAATTTGTGGTGTATATGTGTGTTTTTTTATTTGTTTATAGCTTTTTTTCATTTGGGGTTCATTTCATTTCACCTATTACCCTAATATTGTGTGCCTACCCTTAACCTTTTTGATTTATTTTTACGATTTTCAAGGGAGCACTGTTAAAGTAAAAAATAACTCTTCTAATATATTTTATTTTTTAAATGAAATATGAATATAATCACCTACCCTAATTTTTCAGACATGTAACAGGAAATAGACATGTCTTTTAGGCATTTTTCTGTTCATGTATCGATATATCAACTATAATGAATAATAAACAACTGTTAATTAAAGTTTGTTACACAGATGTTTACAAAATGTAATCAACCGGTAAATGTAAGGTAATACAGGAACAGTTGTTTTATACCTTGTAGTATTGAAATGTTACAAGAATGACTTATACATTTTGATTGATATTTACAATATTATAACTTTTAAATATACATAATATAGATATAACTTTAAATAAAAGTGTGTAATTGTACTACTGCTGTGTCGGTGTTTGAATATATTCAGATATCTGGAAATTTGATGAAAAGATTGCTTCTTCATGTGGTATTTTTGTATTCTGAGAAGGGTTGTCTTACCGGGTACATTTTAGTAACCGTTTATTCGAACAATCTTCCGACCGAGTAACCGGTCAGTTTGGAAATCAAACAATAAACAACGACAATACGTTACTATAGTATATGTTTAACAAATGTTCTATTTAAAAGTTAAAACATATTTACACCACATACATATATGTATATATTAATTAGCGTCAAGATAGTTGAGTCGCGTATTCAAGGTAAATGCGGGAAATAGTAACATGTAATCTCAGTAAGTATATTTCATGGGCAGCAAGTGTTGGTACAATGTACAGTAAGGCTGGATTCAATGACAGCTATCTGTACTCGTAGTCATATGCCGTTATATTGTTCTGTAGAAACAAATTTGATCGACAAACGTTTTAATACATGCTTGCTCATTCAAGTGTGTACCCTGCAGATTATATTTACATCTCGCATGCAATAACATGTGGTGCTGGCGGGATTTATTTGTCAATCTTTACAAAAGAGAACAAAAACGACACTAATACGTCCGCCTGAACACTGTTTATATTACAAAACTGTCTGATTTTGATCACATCTATAGATAACTTGTCGGTCTAAGCTCTGAACACTGTTTTACTACAAAACTATCTGATTTTGGACGCATCTATAGATAAGTTGTAGGTCTAGGCAAGGAAAACATGGGGCTCACCAAAGGGGGTAGTCCGACTATTCGGTTATTGATCTTGGTAAGCGGTTAAACGGCTAATCGTTGACAACCTTAATTCTTATTTTTTTTTTTTTTTTTTTATTAGAAGCAGAAGAAAAAATATCAACTTTTCAACAAAAACAAGATTTTCTTCTGTAAATCAACAACAAAAAAGGATTTTCCAGAGGAAAACAATAGGTGAAGTCTAGTTATAGACTTCCAGTGACTTCTATTCCATCGATATATACCACTATCGGTGGAATGGCATTTTGCACTTTGTTGATATAAACCCCTAAAGCGTCTTATAATACTTCCTATACATCGGGATAGGTTTAAATAACCTACAGTGATAAATTAGCAGGACCCTGTGAACAGGCTTTCTAGTGGGGCCTATGTTTGAACAAACCAAAAACACATTAGGACAGGTCCAAATAACCAGGCCCCTGTGACCGGGCTAACTAAAGATACCTATGTGTGGACCACTATCAAAACAAGACATAAGGATAGGTCCAAACTTACCTTAAGTGATAAATTAGCAGGGCCCTGTGACCGGGCTTACTAGAGTTACATATGATCAGGATAGGTTCAAACATACTTACAGTGATACATTTTCAGGCCCATGTGACCGGTCTTATTATAGTTACATATGATCAGGATAGGTTCAAAAATACTTACAGTGATAATTATCAGGCCCATGTGACCGGGCTTATTAGAGTTACATATGATCATGATAGGTTCAAAAATACTAACAGTGATACATTTTCAGGCCCATGTGACCGGGCTTATTAGAGTTACATATGATCAGGATAGGTTCAGATATACTTACAGTGATACATTCTCAGGCCCATGTGACCGGGCTTTTTAGAGTTACATATGATCATGATAGGTTCAAACATACTTACAGTGATACATTCTCAGGCCCATGTGACCGGGCTTATTAGAGTTGCATATGATCAGGATAGGTTCAGATATACTTACAGTGATACATTCTCAGGCCCATGTGAACAAGCTAATTAGAGTAACATATGATCATGATAGGTTCAAACATACTTACAGTGATACATTCTCAGGCCCATGTGACCGGGCTTTTTAGAGTTACATATGATCAGGATAGGTTCAAACATACCTACAGTGATACATTCTCAGGCCCATGTGACCGGGCTTTTTAGAGTTACATATGATCATGATAGGTTCAAACATACCTACAGTGATAAATGTAAGAGTAATAGGTTCAAACATACCTACAGTGATAAATTTAAGAGTAATAGGTTCAAACTTACAAACTGATAAATTATCAGGTCCCTGTGAACGGGCTTTAGAGAGTAACATATGATTAGGATAGGTTCAAACATACCCACAAGGATACATTATCAGGTCCCTGTGACCGGGCCCTTGTATCTATATTCTGATGCAAAAAGCAAAGTATTCATAATAAACCAACAATTTCAGTCCGTCTTTACCAAAGAAAACATCTCTGAATTACCCGACTTAGGTCCGTCACCATTCAAACCAATGTCACGCATCACCATCAGCGAACCAGGTGTATATAAGCTCCTTCAGAATATCAAATCTCATAAAGCCACTGGTCCCGATTCCATTTCAGCCAGAATCCTCAATGAATTGGCAACCGAAATCACCCCAGCACTATCAATTATCTTTCAAAATTGCCTCGGCCCTAACACCGTATACGTACCATACGATTGAGCGTGAAGCACACATCGTGCCAGTCTTCAAAAAAGGGGATAAACAAGCTGCTGAAAATTATAGACAGGTCTCACTTACCTGTATCACATGCAAACTATTAGAACATATCATCCATAGTAACGTAATGTCCCACCTTGAGGAAAATAACATCCTAACAAATTTACAACATGGTTTCCCTGCAAAATTCTCTACTGAAACTCAACTACTGACAATTAACGACATAGCAAGGAACCTTGATAAAAATAAACAAATTGACGTCGCCCTTTTAGAATTCTCGAAAGCATTCGACAAAGTCCCTCATGCAAGATTACTTTCCAACCTAGAATATTATGGGGTAGATCCAGATACTGTTGGTTGGTTTTCCTCTTTTCTGGACAACAGACAACAGAAAGTAATAATGAACGGTACCAGCTCTGATAGCGCCCCCGTCCTATCCGGGGTACCTCAGGGAACGGTTGTTGGCCCACTCCTCTTTTTGGTCTACATTAATGACATCACCGACTCAGTTGTAAACTTGACTGATATAGAGTCGAAAACACTAATGATAAATATGGCTGGAAATATCAAAGGATTGGTATGTAAGATGGAGAGTTCTATAAGTGTATACGTATATATGTAAAAGATGTATGAGGAATATATATTGTAGTGAACATTTTGCATTATGAATTATATAATGCAGTTATATGAATGTCATATACGTCATTATTTAATACATTTACTTCTCAAAACTATGGTTATATATAAATTAAGATACATAATGTAAAACAGTTTGGACATATGAAATCTCCTAAAGGAGGAAATAAAGAATGTCTGTCTGTCTGTCTGTTATGTATCACATAGTAATGAAGAAAACTTAGACGGAGTTTAGATAACATCGTTGTGGAGGAACTGACAAAGCAAAGTGGCTTACACTTCTGAAACAGCTTATATTATCCTTGAGTGTTCTTAATGAACTAAATGTAAAGCTTCCCTTGTTCATATTTGGCGCTTATCTTATGCTTTCTAATTATTTGGTATTTATTCTCTTCCTGTTTTGTACGTCAAGTAAGTAGAATCAAAGTAATCCCTTCCTGTTTTTTAATGTTGGGGGTGGGTGTTACGTGAAGTTGAATCAAAGTCAAGTTAGTGGTAGCATGTATGTAAGTACACTTCCAGGTCACTTCCGGTTGTGGTTAAATCCCAAAGATGTTTATATTTCTAGGTCAGGTCCAAAAATATATACTAGATAATGTGCAATACTGTGGTGCAATCTTAATGTCGAGTTAGTAGAATCTAAGTCATCATGACGTGAAGTTGGTTATATCAAAGTCATCTCTCCCTGTTTTTATTTTTTTTTTGGGGGNAGGGGCTAGTGATGTTGGTAGAACCAAAGTCATCTCTTCCTGTTGTTTTGATGTCAAGGTGGAGTAAGTCACCTCCTTCTGTTTTTTGTATGAAGTGGGTGGAAACTAAATCATCTCTTCCCGTTGTTCTTTTACGTCATGTTGGAAGTTTCGAAGTCATCTTCTCCTGTTTTGTAAGTCAAGTTGTTAGAATCAAAATCAAAAACAGACATAGCTTTTGGTATAGATATTTATTTGACATGAACCACTCACCAGATAGTACACATATAAAGTCAGACAAAGAAACAGTGAATAGAGAAAGAATTGGACACATACCGGCCAGCATTCCTCCCACACAAATATACAATAAAACACATCTTTTTCAGAACTCCTATTATAGCGGGATCACTTAGGAGCCCTGTACCACTGCTAAAAACATTTTTGGAAAATATTTTTTCTGGCATGACTGTGTCTTTGTAAAATCATTTCTGAAAAGAAAACGCAAGAATTAAAAAAATCAGATTTCCTTTCGTAGGTAGATATGGACTTATAAGTCTTAATAAATCTAACCTTTGCCTTATTCTAGATAAAACAAATGTAACATGACTTCCCCATGTCAATCCATTATCAATATGTACACCAAGCAGTTTTCCACTGCAAACTTGTTCAAGGGGTTCTTTGCACATACATAATTCTAAATCTAAACAGGTTCTTTTTTGCTTTTGTTTTGAGACAATGCACATACATTTTGTTATGTGTATTGACCTGTCTGTCAGAGAATGAGGAGAACACCTCTATGGTTTGAGGAAGAGGAGAAAGCTCACCTGGATCAAATGATCGAGAAGGGAGTTGTACAGCCAACGGTGTCTGAACGGGCTGCACTCCCGGTACTTGTAAGGAAGCGGGACGACTCCTAAAGGTATTGCATAGACTTCAGGGCTTTGAACAAGGTAACCGTCAAAGATGCTTTCCCTCTTCCCAGGATCGAGTCGTGTATGGACACCTTAGCCGGAAGTACTTTCATGCGCACTCTGGATATGGCGGCTGGCTATTGGCAGGTAGAGCTGGAGGAACAGGACCGACACAAGACTGCATTTATAACTAAATACGGCTTGTTCGAGCATCTGCGACTCCCGTTTGGACAACATAACCTGAAGCTGAAACCATTTTATTTTAGCTTGTTCCAGACACAGGTGAAGTTCC